TTTTCTTTTCTTTTCTTTTCTTTTCTTTTCTTTTCTTTTCTTTTCTTTTCTTTTTTGGTGTGTGGCAGGGGGTGGGCTTCCCACAGGGGTAAAGTTCTTGCTTCAGTGTCTAAAGAGAGGAACCTATCTGAACTGCCACCATGCACTGAGCAGTGTCTGAGGCAACTGTAGACAGGCAATGTGTGAAGAAGTGGTTCTTCGAAAAGCTCCTGAGAAGGCAAAAAAAGAGGGAGAGTAATAATCAAAGAGGGAGAGTAATTGTTTATATTTTTTTAAGTTTATTTATTTATTTTGAGAGAGAGAGCATATGCAGGGAAGGGGCAGAGAGAGGATCCCAAGTAGGCTCAGCACTGTCAGTGCAGAGCCTGACGCAGGGCTCAAACCCACAAACCGTGAGATGGTGACCTGAGCTGAAATCAAGAGTCACATGCTCAACTGACGGAGCCACCCAGGCACCCCCAAAATTGCTGTTCTTTAAGAGCTCATGGTGGTGTGGGGGCAGCCACCCATCAATCTTGGCCCTGTGGGGGCCAGATTTGGAGAACCTAGGGAAGCATCCGGACTCCAGCTTGCTGGCTGGGCGGATTTGCTCAGGTTACTGAAAACGTGTTACTGTGTTTTTCTCTGCAAAGGATATGTTGCCTTTTCTCAGGACCACAGGCATCTTCACATACTTCACTGCAGAAGAACTACACAGTTTCTAAGGGTTATTTAAACTATTTTTCCAACAGAGGGAGAAAAAAAAACACCACCTGTTTCTCAGTTTTCATAATATAAGGAATTTTTTTAAATATGGGTTTTAAGAATGGAGACAATTCTACTCCTAATAGATGGAAACTGAAAGTTTAATCCTTTGTTACTAGAGTAACAAATAGTTACGGTTCCTTTGTAAGTGTATAATTTTAGGCTGTAATGTTAAAATAATTCATTATCCCAGGATTTGATAGGATTTAAGAGTTACTAGAGAATTTGCACACCTGATTCCTAGGTATGGAGATTATGGAGGTCTTTTGCTTCTCTCCTTCTGTGCACCTTTTGGTCAGTTTGCTGTGTATTACAGTTTTTGCAGGCAGGTGGCCATGGTAAAGCAAAGGGGTAATTCCAGTATCTTGGATAGAGTTTGGGGTGCTTTTGGGTTCTGCAGTCAGGTGGATCTGGGGTTCAATCTTAGTTCAGGGCCTCTTTTTATCAGCTGGGAGACTTCATCTTTGGTTACCTTTTCTGAAGGAGGATAAAATAATCCTTAAAAGATGGGTAAAGGAAGTTGAAAATCATTTAGTTTTTCCAAGTATTTGCATATACATCATCTAATCTAAAGCGTTAACCTACCTTCAGTGTGGATAATCCATAATTAGTTCTCTTGGTCTGTCAAAGAAGCAGCCCTGAGTTGGAGTTTGCCATCAGGACTGTTGGGCATGGAAATTTTTTGAAATCATTATTTACATAGTTTTCTTTTAAAATTAGTCCCTGTAAGAGGGACAATATGGTACCTAGCCCAAATCTACTGAACACATGATAAAATGCTATACTTGTATATTACAGATCTAGATTTCTGGAATTAGAAAGACCAAAAATGCATATAGGCAATTGCTACCCACTAGGGACTATAAACTCTAACCTAAGTAAGTGAATATCTCCAGTTACATCATGTAAACTTTTAACATTGCTCTGCAAATAGCTGTTCATTCTTCAGCAGGTACGATGATGCCAGACAAGCAGAAAAGAAGGACTGATTGAGTTTATTGTTTGTAAGAGAAGCCTTGCCAAAACAAAACAACTAGTACATTTTAAGGTATTGCTTGATCAGCTACATTTCTAACTAGAGCAATATAAGTAACAATGTCATTTAGGATGCTTTGGGCTGAAATAATAAGACTGAAAAATAGTCTAATATATTTCCAATAAATAAGAAAAATACACTGTCACTTAAGAAGTCCTGAGGTTGGGTTGTTCCAGGGCTTGCTGATTCAGTGGCTCAACAACAGAAGCTTTGGTTCCTTTCCGTTCTGCCTTCTCATTTTGGTTTCCCTCATGCTCGCAAGATGGCTGCCACAGATCCAGGTATCGCTTGTAATATGACTACATGGAGTAGGAAAAAGGGCTATTTTTTTCCCGTACAAATCTTTATCAGCAGGAGCACATAACAATTCTCCAGTAAACTCATCTCTCACTGGACAGAATTGCCTTGTGTGCCCATTTCTGACCTAGCTAGGGGATGGAATAATTTCTGTTGAGCTTAAACCAGTCGAGATTAACATTTGGGGCACCTGGGTGGTTCCTTCAGTTAAGCATCCAATTCTTGATTTCAGCTCAGGTCAGGATCTCACAGTTCTGAGATTGAGCCTCATGTCGGACTCTGTGCTGACAGCATTGGAGCCTGCTTGGGATTCTCTCTCTCTCTCTCTCTCTCTCTCTCTCTGCCCATCTCCCCCCACCACCCTTCTTTCTCAAAATAAATAAATAAACCTAAAAAAAGAGAGAGAAAAGAAAATGGAATGAACCCCAGACTCCTGTTTTTAGCTCTTCGATGATGATGGGTTTTGTAAATATCTACTACCTTGTTTCTAATATCAACTGCCACCCGGGCCATTTCATTTCTCAGTGCTGTACCTGGCTTATGTGCAGTTGTCCCCCAGGACCAACATCTCAGCCACTCTTTATTATTAATCCCGTACTTATTGATAAACTTCATCTATCTTCAAACTGTTTTCCACAGAATACAAATTCTTTTGAGCTCGTCTTTATGCCAGAAATTCTTAAAGTGTGGTCCAGGGACCCCTGGGGTTCCTCGAAAAAAACATCCAGGGGGCCTGTGAGTCAAACTATGTTCACGCTAATACTAGGCATCATTTGTCTCTTAATCTCACACTTGTGAGAGCAGGGTTTTCCAGAGGCCACAAGACGTGGGACATAGCAACAGATTGAATGCAGAACTAGATGTGAGAATCTAGCTGTATTCTATGAAGGCAGACATTAAAGAGACTTGCAAAAATGTAAAATAATACCACATTTCTCACTCAATTTTTGTTTTGAAAAATATGGCTTATTACCCATAAAAATATATTGTGTTCTCTCCATTTAAATTTCTTAGATGATAAATATTGAAGATATAACCTATGTAGACAAAAGTTTTTTTTGAGGGTCTTTGATAAGTTTTGGGAATATAAAGGCATCCTGATACTACTATTCTACACTATATTGTTTTAGTATTTCCCAGCGCCGTGCACTATATTCCACAGTGGACTCTAGAATGTTCCACACAAAAGGAGCTCCATGATGGCATCTGACCATTGAGTTAGGCTGCACGAGCTTCCACAGTTACTGTAAAATCTTTTTTTTTTTTAACATTTATTTGTTTTTGAGAGACAGAGACAGAGCATGAGCAGGGGAGGGGCAGAGAAAGAGGCAGACACAGAATCCGAAGCAGGCTCCAGGCTCTGAGCTGTCAGCACAGAGCCAGATGTGGGGCTCGAACCCACGAACCAGGAGATCATGACCTGAGCCGAAGTTGGCCACTTAACCGACTGAGCCACCCAGGCGCCCCTACTGTAAAATCTTTTGGGTCAACACTGTGCTATTTTTCTTAGTTTATTTAATATTTCATAAAATATTTAATCAAATAAAACTTTTTTTTAAGTTATAGCCACATTTAAACAAATGTGGTAGATTTAAAAATTATCAGGAATCATCTGTCCGACAGATTCTTATTGCTCTCATTTTGACATTTTGCTACAAAAAACCCACAATAATCAGATGCATCACACAGCATAATTCAATTAAATGTGACATTTTGAATAATCGTTGTAAAATATGTAATTAGTTCTCCAACTTGGGTCATTAAACTGAATGAAATCCCACTTTTGTCTTCTTGCCGTTATACCTGGAGTTCTCCTAGTTAGATGATTCTTTATTAGCATGCACACCATTTACCAGGCTCCATGAAAGTTAAAACTGAAAAGAAAATAGAGATTATCAAGTTGAAACCCCTCATTGGGCAATGAGCAGTGGCCCTCACTCGCTGACTAACTTGCTGACGGTCACTCAATAAATAGCAGAACACAACTTCTGGCCCCAGTGTGCATTGCAGCGCCCTGGTCAAACATTTCATTCTTTGTACAGGTAAAGAATACCATTTCACTAGGGGCGCCTGGGTGGCTCAGTCGGTTGAGCATCCAACTTCAGCCCAGGTCATGATCTCACAGTTCGTGGGTTCGAGCCCCGCATCAGGCTCTGTCCTGACCTCTTGCTCAGAGCCTGGAGCCTGCTTCAGATTCTGTGGCTCCTTCTCTCTGTGCCCCTCCCCGATCACGGTTTGTCTCACTCTGTTTCTCAAAAATAATCAATGTAAAAAAAATTAAAAAAAAAAAAAAAGAATACCATTTCACTTACCATAACACTCTCCAGTTCCATCCACATTGCTACAAATGGCCAGATTTCATTCTTTCTCATTGACAAGTAGTATTCCATTGTATATATAAACCACCTCTTCTTTATCCATTCGTCAGTTGATGGACATTTAGGCTCTTTCCATAATTTCCATAGCTATTGTTGAAAGTGCTGCTATAAACATTGGGGTACAAGTGCCCCTATGCATCAGTACTCCTGTATCCCTTGGGTAAATTCCTAGTAATGCTATTGCTGGGTCATAGGGTATTTCTATTTAAAATTTTTTTGAGGAACCTCCAGAGAGGGTATTATGCTAAGTGAAATAAGTCAGGCAGAGAAAGACAGATACCATATGTTTTCACTCATATGTGGATCCTGAGAAACTTAACAGAAGACCATGGGGGAGGGGGAGGGAAAAAGAAAAAGTTACAGAGAGGGAGGGAGGCAAACCATAAGAGCTCTTGGATACTGAGGACAAACTGAGGGTTGATGGAGGGTGGGGAGAAGGGAAACTGGGTAATGGGCACTGAAGAGGGCACTTGTTGGGATGAGCATCCAGTGTTGTATGGAAACCAATTTGACAATAAATTATATTAACTATATATATATATATATATATATATATATGATGTTAAAAAAAAACCAATACCATTTGGACAGTACACTTGGCCTTTGAAGGTTGTCAGTATGAATAGTGGTCTTACCCTAAATGAAAATGTATTTCCTAAGAAGTACTGGTTACCACAAGCATGCCAGTAACCAAGATGAACACGGAATGAATCTTCCAGCCGATGGTAAATCCCAGCTACACAGAGCTCTTGCTAAGTTTGCCCTGCTACCTGGTTCCCCAACGCAATCCTCCAGGCTGGTATGGAAAATCAGACCAGGGTAAGAAACGGTCACCCAAGACTCAGAAGCAGGAAACAGTCGAAGGCAGAGTTCCTCCTGGTCATCTGGTCATCTGAACCTGCCTGTCCCTTCCACAGCCACTTTGTCCATCCCCAAACCCCAGCGGGTGGGACCACTGCTGTGCCTTGAAGGAAACTCCCTCCTCTCTGCCTCCATGCTTGTACCTGCAGCCGCCCATGCCCGCAACACCTTCACCCATATTCCTCCTTTGCCCAATCTGGTTAATTCCTGCCAGGTCTTCAGCATTCGATTCATATTTCGTCTACCGTGGAACCTCCCCTCCCCCAGCCTTCCCCAGCATGCCCCACCCACGGCACGGCCAAACACTCTGTGCATAATGGCCATGCTCTTCTCAACTGCCTTCTTATCTTCTCTGTTCTTAACACAAAAACTCCTTGAAGGCAGAGGCTGTATTGGGCCCAGCACCACACCCAACACACGGTCATCTCCTTATGAATAATTGTTGAATGAGTGGCCAAATGAGTGAGTCAGCAAGTCCTACCCCTCCAACACAGTGCTATGCAATAGAAATAGAAACTAAGCCACGTATGCAATTGTTTATTTTCTAGTGGACACATGAAAAAAAATTTTTTTAAGAGATGAAATGAATGTTATTAATACATTTTATTTAACCCAATATATCCAAAATATTACTTTTCAATATGTACCCAAAATGTTACTTTTTAATGACTTTTTAAAAACTTTTTTGTAATGTTTACTTATTTTGAGAGAGAGGGAGAGTAAGTGCGGGAGGGGCAGAGAGAGAGAGGGAGAGAGAGAGATTCCCAAGCAGTCCCCACGCTGTTAGCATAAAGCCTGACACAGGGCTGGAACTCACAAACTGTGAGATCATGACCTGAGCCGAAATCAAGAGTCTGACATGCAACCGACTAAGCCACCCAGGTGCCCCCAATATAAAACATTATTAATGAGATGTTTCAGTGTGTGTGTGTGTGTATGTGTGTGTGTGTGTGTGTGTGTGTCAAGTCCTCAAAATTCAGTATGTGATTTTCACACAGAGCACATTTCAATCTGTGCTAGCTGCATTTCATAGCTGATGCTATTATACTGGACAATGCACATAGATCCAGTCTAAGAAATCTCTGTCTGGGATATTGCCAAGATACTCATGGTGCACCTTCAGACTCTCACACCAAACCACTATTGTCCTGGGATCCTAGTCGTCCAGGCCAGGAATGACCCAAGTTAGATGAAATATTCTGGATCGGCACCAAACCCAAATGCCATCGCCAAATACAGAGAGGTCCCTGTGCAGGACTTGTCCCTTGACCTTTGGACTGATGTTAACTTGAGGATTTAAAACAACAAGCCAAACTCAAAATTGAGGTAAGCCCAGCATTCATTTGGAAGACAGACTGGGCACTGTCCCTATGCAACAAAAGTAGTTCCATTACTAAGGCTATCCTACTCTTCTCCCCCAGAGTCCTGAGGAGTTGATCATGCATTCTGATAGACCGAGAAGTCTTTTCTTAAATAACCTGTTTTTAAAAATTGAAGTATAGGTGACATACAATGCTGTATTAGTTTCAGGTGTATAAC